CTGGTCATATTATTTCACTAAATTCTTATAAACTTCAAAGCCTTTAATCAACATTAATGAGCATAGCACTACACTTAAGGATCTAGGACAGTAGGGCTCTGTCCCCATTCCTGTCAAGCCTCTGTGAAAATGAGATTCACCCCCCTTGTAATGCTTTTTAGGAGCAGCAGTATCTGCTGAAAAGAATAGCACTGAACACAGATGGACACCTTCCATACAAATCTGTTTCAATAACGCAGTGAGCAATTACTGTTAGAGAAACAGTTTCTTCAGATAATTAGATACTTAAAATTGAAGTTGTTTATGTTTATATAAGCAGTGAAATTATAGACAGAATTATGCAAACAAATCCATCATGGACCATGAGCTCCTGTCAGGTTGCTAATGAAGGTAGAAAGCAGCAATCTTTCTTTATAAGGTTCTCTAATGACCATGATAACAAACCAATTTTGTTTTTAGTGCTGCATGTTTCCCTTCCCCCATTTTTTTTCCCACTAAGTATCAGCTTATAGTGACAAATGCTTTCAGAAGACAAAGAGGATAAAAGAGGCTTGAAGTTAACACTCTTCAATTATGCTGACACTGAAATGATTAAATTAAGCAAAAATTCAGTATTTCATTGTCTATTTGACTCAGATTCCTACCTAAGCAAATTTATGGACTCTGTTAAGGTACATTTTGTCTTCACTTAAAATTTGTTTCAGAGATGCATTTAAGAGACAATTACCTCTTCTACTTTACTGGAAGCTGTAAAGGCTTATAATACTGCTCTCCATCAGGAACCTTTTCTGCAAGACAAACGCTGTTTACAGAGATCCATGAACACTGGTTAAGAAAGGACTGTACATCCACACAATGTTCAGATACATACTTTCTTCACATAAGGACCATCTTTGTCTACAAGCAAATATGTTGCTTTAAAAAAAAAAAAAAAAAGAGAGAGATTTCCTATGCTTTTGAGTCTTCTCCTGATTATCTGGACCCTGAAACAGGCTATAATGGCATTATTTGTTGATTCTTGAATGTATGAGAAATCCTAACATCATTAGATTAATTGCCAGAATTACAGTACAACAAATTATGTCAAATAGCATCTTCTTTTGTCTGGAAATATTATAGTATAAAGTTCTGGCAGGAAAACTTACTATCAAAGTACTATAGATCTTAGCTTTAATCTCCTCAAAAGATTATTTCATTGCTGATGCAAAACACACTCCACAGACATTTACCTTACAACTGCGTGATAAATCAAGCTAACAGCCTCTTAGAACTAGGCCCAAGCAAGAAGATAAATATTATTTTATCCATAAAATTTCTCCTTCACTCTGAAATTATCTGGAACATGAGGCAAACATACAACAATGAACCAGATAATGAAAAAAAAAATCATGTAATTTGTTGCAGCTTGCTCGTTTGTGAACAGAAATAAGAAGAGTTGCATATCCGAAGATAATACTCATGTATTTATCCAGCTCATACTTATGAAGCACTTCAGAAAAATCCTCAAAGTGCTCAGCATTTGCTAAAATGGGAGAAAATAGAGACACGGATATAAAACATTGCTGACTTCTTCTGTCGTGACAAAATAGAAATAATTACTGATTTATCATCAATACATCTCTATTTTTCTACTCAGACAGTAACTAGGATCAGTCTATCAAAATAGAGATAATTACTGAAGAATGAAATACTGATGGTGCCAGACATGCAATTTACAGAGTACTGCTAGGCGTAAATGCAGAAACAATATTTTCTTCCATGTGCTTACAAAACTGGGCACTCCACAGTATCACCTGTTACAGAGTGCAGAAATGGAAACAGCAACATACCCAAATGGTTTGAAAAATGAGCATACTGTTTTTGAGAATACCTGCCTGAACACACCGTAAGAATCCACCTATGATGTCGTACGTACGGCATGGCGTGACAGACACCAACGGCAACACTTTGAAAAACTTTGCACTGAGCAGCTCTGAACATGAAAATGGTGCAGAAAAAGCATAACGAAGAAGAGCAACAATGGCATGAGTGAAAAAAAAGGTGTTTCTGTTTACAGTGATACCACATTTTGGCTTGAGCAGAAATGAACATAATTCAAATGGCAGACATTTGTTCAAAAATCTTCATGGAGGACACTGTACTGCCACTTCTGCCACTTAGGCAGAAATGGGCCACTTAGGTTCTCACATAAGCACTTAGGCAAATAAAAATAAAAAGGGTAAATAAACATACAAAATGTTTTCAGCCTTCTCTCCAAATGATTTATTGCTGCCAGAGCTCTAATCTAATTTTAGGTGAACTCATCCTTTTTTCTGCCCTGGAGCCACTTTAACTCAATATTGCTCTCCTTCCAGATCCACGAGAGAGTACAGGCTCCCTCAGCCACCACAGATGCTGTGCAGACATTTTACTTTAGCTGTTTGCTGTAAAAGTCATCAATATCGCTTCATCCCGAAGAGACCTTTTCTAACAAAAATGAAAACAAATTGCTAATATTATATGAAACTTTGACCTTTGCATCCCAAAGTAGGGGAAGTAAGATCTGAACTCCTTGTTGTTGCTTTGAAATCCTCCAAAAGCTCCTCCAGGCAGGCAAACTTTTAATTTCAATAAAATATTTCCTGAGCTGCCAGGCTGAGGTTGCCTCCTTGCTCGCCCTGCTGTAGGAGCCAGCGGCAGGTCCAGGCTGCCAGCTGGGCTCCCGTGGGCCTGCCTGCACTGCAGCCGTCCTCTCTCCGAAGCAGCAGCAAGTGATGTGAGGTCTTTGGGGAAACCATTTCAGGAATCATCTTTTCATCTGCCTCCTTCCCATCTGTTCACCCTTCCCATCCTCAGTATTCCCATACTACACTGCTTCACAAACACTATTTTCCATGATAGCTTCTTGTTCTGGCCCCTTGTTATCCCTGGCTCCTCATGTGCTGATCTGAAGCTAAGTCTGTGAGGGAAAGAAAATGGAAGTCTGAAACACTTGCAGATTGCTACTTTCTGGTCATACACAGCTATTTGTTTCCCAAATACCAAGAGATGCAGTGGAATGTAAATCTGAACAATTCTTACACCACCTCCAAAACAAGACCTGTAGGGAACTGCAATCTGCTTCCTGTCACACTTACCACACGCTGGGACCATGACTAGGGAAAAGGATGGATCAGAGGCCAAAGGCATGAACTAGCTTGCAAAATTGTTCTCAGACATGTCTCAAGATCTGAGAATAGCTAAACACTTAAATCATCACCACAGCAGGGAGTGTAAACTGTAGACACAATGTTTTCATTTTTAAACAAGAGATACAAATAATGCTTCCAACTGAGCAGGCAGCTGAAAGAGCGAATTGCAGGGAAAAGACTGATGTGCTAGAGATTTTACACAAACTCCTTGACTTCTGTTTTCCAAACACGTAAGGAAAACGATGCAGTAAACACTGAAACAAAATTAGCATTTGCATCTCTACATTGTCTGCACTCAACAGCTCCTGTGCTACAATATATCTTTAAAACTAGGATTTTCACAGAGCTGGATCTTCTCCAGAACATCACTCATACATCAGACCATCTCTTGTGAATATCACTTACCATAATCTCCACTAGGCTATAGATGTAGCATTAAACTGATAAATATGGTTTTATAACAACACAGTAGATCCAGATAATGTCATCAAAGTTGATTTGCACATTGTTTCAAAGATCCTATATAGATATAATAAATATGGTACCAGACTGTCAGGCAGGAGAAGCTAGAACAGACAGATGACCTTTGTGCAATACTTCACCCTCTTCTCTCTCAGGAATGTATAAAATGAAGGTATGAAAGAAGACACAGTCAGTCACCACTGACACTGACCAAAATGTCACCAATTTTATTAGAACACAGAACAGCATTAGAAAAAAAAAAAAAAAAAGTAATGAATTGCTTAGTTATAGCTGTGTTTGCTGTGTCTTTGTCTCCCTGAGTGCCTAAGAGAGTGGAACAAAATTGCCAGCAGTCACATTACGGAGATAGGTTGACAAGCTGGATGACCCCATAAGTCTTGTTCGCATCTCATGTCTGGGCTCTTGACTTGCATCTTAAATGACTTCCATATCAAGGCTATTGCAGGGAATCTGTTTTGCCATTCTAAAGGGTTTCTGCCAAACTGAGATCGAATGATGAATGCTTTGTTCTACCTGGCACATCTGGAAAAACAAAACCCACCCCTCCACCTCCTCCTCCTACGCCTGGAATTACTGTTTGAGACACGCTATGAGGGAAGGTGTGCACTGAAGAAACAGATAGGAAATAAATAAATAAATAAATCTCAAACACCAGAATTGTTTATTCCCTTGAAATGCGACGACTCCTTGACAACCACAATTCCTGCTCTCTCCCAGCACACACCAGCCCAGCTGCCCCTCTGTCCCTCTTACTCTGGAGTCATCTGGAGTGGCATGACACAGCAGGAAAAGAGACCGGTTCACTGTGAGACCTGCTACTCACTCTCTTACAGTGTAACGGCCCCCCTTCCAGCCGCACGGCGCTGCGGGCAGCCCGTCCAATGGACACCACCCACACACAGCCCTGCTGCTCCTCAGGGCCAGGGACAGCACAAGGTGGTGGAGAACAACCTTCTGCATCACAGCAGGCCTGTCCACCACGTAGGGCGGTGCAAACACTTGAGGAGTTCCCATGACAGAGGGCAACCACAGTGGTTGGCTTGAACGTGCAGTGTGACTGCTTACAGCAGCTCCCCCCAGCTCTGTCTGTGCCCAGCCACTTGAAGCATGGACACTGAGGACACAGCAGCACTGCATACAGGACAGCAGGGATGGAGGATGCAACCCCTGCTCTTCCATTGCTCGGGATGTCCAAGCAAAAGGTTTCTCAATTTGTAATATTCACTGTATTTTCAAACAGAACAGCAACCAGCTTTCTCCTCTGCTGTTCAATTAGAGCACAACCAACAGGTCTCACCTGCAAAGGCACTGTGAGCAGCTGAAGAAATGAGTACCAGATGTACATACCTGTTTGCTGGGCAGTCTGGGGGATCTGTTGACTCCGCTGTGCATTGTACTGAACTGAGGCAATGGGTCTGTACTGCTGAGTTGTTGAGGTAGGGTACTGACCAGATGGGTAATAATACACTGGCATCTGCAAAGAAAGAGAACAGTAAACTCTAGAGATCAAAGATTCATAAAATAGAACAAAACAGGGAGGGGGAGCAGAAATTCAAATCAAGCATATTAGTGGTAATAGAAATCAAGAGAAGCGGTTTGCCTCCTGTCTCTTCAACAACTGCTGCTTGCTTTCAGCTATACTAAGAAAAGGACTATCAGTGCCCACATATATTTTCAGAAACTTTAAGAAATAGGAAAAAAAATAATTTCAATTGAAAGAGAAAAAAATATAGGATTCATAAAAAGCTACATGTATACACCAAAGAAAAAATATCACAGTAACATTTTATCACAGTAACATATCAAAAGCTGCAGAAAAATAGATGCAAACAACACCTTCTGTATCAACATAACACATACAGACAGCATGTCAAACCATTAAAAGAACTCTGGAGAAAATGGTCCAGTCAAAGCAAGGAATGGCCTGGAGTACAAATATGTAGAAACAAGGTGGAGAGCAAGATGCAGTGTGTGCACCCCTAATACTTGTAAGGAAATTATCAGACTGATGCTTCTGTTTAACATGTACATCCCTCCTTACATGAACATTTTCCTCCAAAGCCTTTCTTGCTCTTGTGAAAACAATTACAGTTCAAAAAACAGTCATAGCTGTTTTCTTGCAGGAGCTGAGGATAGGCATTAGGTCAGCAAGTTCTGCTAGATGGGCTTCTTTTTTCTTCTATTGTTATTGTCATTACAGAGAAACATGTACTACATGTCCTTATCACACAGTTGAACGTGAAAGTTTGAGAGTGACTAGAGCAAAAGATTCTTCCTATACATGCCACACCACTGTTACTGAGACATTTGAGCTAAACAGCTTTCAACTGACCCTTCACAGGTTCAAAGCACCCAAAATTTTTCATTTTCAGCTGTCAGGGATACCGTAGGCATGTGATAGAGTTTGGCAATGTATGGTATGAACAGACTGCAGAGGGACACAGGCTTAGGAGAACACTGATTCTCTCTCAACTTCTACCACAGCAGTCAGCATTTCTTAATAAATCATAGATTTTTTTTCCCTCACTTAGTGCATAGCATTTATCCTATGTAGACATATGCACAGAGTCAGATTAAATGCTTTTATTTTTTTAATGAAAAAAAAAACCCTATTTTTGCCACTTTAATTGCATGGAAGAAATATTCCTGAAACAGATAATTCAATTTGATAATCCATAAAGTTAGCAGAGTAAAGGTAACCTACTGCCAGGACATCGTAAGAGAGATCAGAAATTTTCCTTGGAAGATTTCCAGTCTCAGATTAGGAAAAAAAATGGCATAGGCACAAAAGACTAGACAAGAGTAGGCTCTGGATTGCTACTCAGGCAAGTAGAAGTTTACTGAATGGGTAACTGTGGTGGGAGAAGAATTAGGATTAACAAAGCTGGACTGGGTGGTGTCAGTGAAGTTAACCCTGCAGACCAAGTGACAGTCAACATCATCTGTCAATCAAGAGGCTGAACACCCATCCATTCTTCAAGGTCTATTAATTTTCTTTTCAAACAATTGATTTTTCCCCCCCTCTCTCTGCTTATATCAGCCTGAGTCAAACAAGTATGAGAAAAACAAGGTTTTGACTGGAAAATGGTGTAAGCTACCTTCCCTCCAGACATACCAAGTGAAACCTCATGGCTGGTGCCTGCCCTCGGGCCATTTGTTTTGTTAGTGACTAATGTAACAAAACCAAAACACCTTTGTAGATTGGACACCACTGTTATGAATTTGTTTCTCAGCAAAGAAAAGCCACAAGGAACAGGAAAGTGGGCCCACACATTTAAGGTGCAAAATCATTTTTTAAGCAGTATAAACTGTGGATCAGCAAAGTTTAGTGTGATAAACTCATCTTGTGGACAGCTGATTGTTCTCAGCAACACTCTGCTACAGGAAGCTTGGAAGAAATTAGGAGACCACTCTAAGTCAAGTCAATGCAAATATTTGATCCAGGCTTGGAGCAGGGGAACAGAACAGACATTCTTTCAAATATTATTTATTTTCTATTAACATATGCTACAAACTAAAGAATATTAACCTCCTGTGGAAATACTCTCACTTATCCTGGCAGCAGCTTAATCTCACTTAAAGGATTTATTTTATCTATGCTCAACTTCCTCATTTTCCAGTGCAGAGAAGCCCCTAGATATTTAAAACAACATGAGCATTTGGCAACAATGAGAATTATCTCTTTGGAAATGATTCTGTAGGTATTAACCTTAAAATATAACCTGAAGAATCTAAGTTTTGAAGTCAGGTTTATAGTTGAACCAGCTGAGCAAAAAAATATATACACTGAAGCATACACTCCTTTATTTTCACCACACACATAAATCCTCAGCATTAGTCAAAGGGTTGTCTCCCTTGCTCTCATTTTCTCAATTCACGGGAGTACATTTGTTATGCAACCCACTTAAAAGTTTATTAGAGTGCAATATATCAACATGAAAAAAATGTTAGTAGTAGATGGGCAAAAAAAAAAATTCACTTATAAAGATTAATGGAAGAATTAGACAGTAGTCATGCACACATGACATCAAAACAATAGGTTTGGCTTTTGATGGGATTTGCTCTTTTGGTTTTGTGTGTGTGTGTTTTGTTGTTGTTTTTGGTTTTGTTAGCTCATTTTTTGTTTGGTGGGGGGGGTCAGGTTTGTTTTTTAGAAGCTCACACATTAAAAGAAGGGCTTGGTGTAAAACATGGACATGATCTAAAATAGGTCTTTTATGCTTGAGGGGCTTGGAAGGATCCATTGTCATTTATCTTGAGTACATCTCTGTGTCAGTAGTTGAAATGCTATTTTTCCTTTCTGATTCTACTTTGGTGAATGGTGGAATTAGAGGGATCAGAGATAACAAGTATCACTTACATCATCTGCTCTGATCCTCTTGGATTTTTTACTTTCTCATCACATCAGTGTTAGCAAAACATTTACTTATGTGCTCTTCAATAAAAAGCATTACATTTCTGTAGCAGCCAGCCAACATGCCAAATTATACCCGAGTTGCATTCCCATGTGAAATGCACAATCCAACCTTCAACCTTTTGCTTGTGAAACATTTTATTTACAGAACCAGAAGGTTTCTATGGCACTAACAATCATGCCAATGAAGCTGTATTGCTATCCTAAAACTAAAATAAATTTACCAAAAAAATGTTCTCTAAGACTATAACCTAAATAAATGCCACCTCCTTTAGTCTAAAAGGATAGTTTTTTGATCTTAATCTTTGACACTGTAAAAAAGAATTTTTTAGTATGATTTTTAATAATTACCTTGTTTGTAGGCTGACCATTCCACTGCATTCTATTTTTTCTCTCCTACACAACTTCAACTTAAATTGTAACAGGACTGGGCATGTCACTTCAGAGACACTCATGAAATGGCACAGTCAGACATTACTTTCTCCTCTTTCTAATGTGCTTTGTCCTTAGATGATGTGTAGAGACTCAGTGCAGCATTGGTTTTCTGCTTTGTTCTGTCCACATACAGCCTGGAGCCATTATGAAGCTGGATGCCTCTCTGGCTGCTCTCCAGCAGGACCCACGAAATTCACTGGTATTTTGTTTATTTCCTCATGGCAGGGTCAGGAGTCCACACACACTTCAGGATTATTTTACTTTCAAAAACTGCCTCCTTGCTGGCTTACAGCTTGATTCAGCCATGGGACTGGTGCTGTATCTATCTTCTCTTAACACTGATACCACGCTGATATCCAGACAGGTTTGGACTAGCACCTCCATCCAGCTGCTGACACCACTGCTAATGCCACTGATACAGTCACATAAATGGGACTGAAGAAGACAAGAGAAACCCCAGTGATGCATGGTAGGTGCCATTTCTTCCTAATATCTAACTGACAGGGATCAGCCATTCTTCAAGGTCTTTTCCTCCCTGCCCCCTCCATAATAATGACTGTAGCAGGTAACAAAAAATAATGCCTTGTAAGATGTCCTCCATTATAATTTTCAAAGATCATCAAGGAAAGCCCTGCTCATTTGCAGTGACTTCCCAACCTTCTTCATAACAAGTTTCCTAGAGGAGATATGCTATGAATAAAGATTTTGTCTTAGGGTCATTACAGACTCTCAAGGAGAGGCCTTCTGCAAAGAGACAGATGATTAAAAGATGACATAAAATTAATGATGACACAAAACTAATTCAGATGAAAAATCCCTCAACATGTTAATTACATCTCCAGGCCTCTCCAAGAATTCATGCCATCTCACCTTTGGATATCATTTTGCCAGTATACCTTCCAGAATGAGTCAGAGGTGAAAATAATTTTTCAGGGAGGACATCCCTTCCCATTGACATAATATTCATATTTTTTCTACTTTTTCATTTGCAGAGGCAAAGACAGGTGCCATTGATATAGTGGTATTGATAAAGTACTACAAAGCAGAATGCAAACCCCTGTTAAAGTGTTTGGTCCATTAGTGCTACAGAAAAATTATCAGAAAGAGAAGAAAATTGAAAATAAAGAAAGCAAAAATATATATGTTTGATATTCATGATAGAAAGCAAACAGGCATTTGCTGCTAAAAACCCCTTTCAGAAAACCCTGGTAACATTTGGGACATTTGGGATTTGGGTTGTTTTTTTTGTTGGATTTTTTTTTTTTTTTTTTGTTCTAATTGGCTGAACAAACAGCAATCCTTATTTTCAGTTTCTTAAATGATGACTTTGTTGTCAAGCTGGGGGATACCTGTGATGAAAGAAGAAGCAAAAAGAAATCCAAAGGTTTCTTTCACCACTTCTTAGGCATGTCATTTCAAACGCAGTCTGCTTCTGCTTTAATACAGACTGGGAGAAAGAATCTTGGAAAGCAGCTGTAGAGCCACATTTAATTGAACTTTAATAGAAAAGCTAGTTATTTAAATGCAGTATTATTGGGTGTGTAGGCTTGAAGCATTTCTTTATCCTCCTTTCAGCTCCCAAAGGAAATTATCATGCTCACAGGATCTCCACCCAAGTTTTCACTGCTATTTTCCAACAGCATACAGGGTATCACAGCCAACCTTATCAGCAGAGCATTTACAGGAACTAATTAGCCATTAAAGTCATGCCACTTTTATACTGGTATAAATTCAATAGCAACATTTAAGATATAAAAGTGCTTTTACATTGATTGCATTGCATTGATTAATGCATCACATAATGTTTTGCTTCCATTACCATCTTTATTGCTTTCTTTTTTTTCTCAGAGCCTGCCTCAGACCACCTGCTATGGTGTCAGAGAGCAGCCTTACTATTGCACCTAAACCCCAAAGAGTAACAAAGCTGACTCAGACTGACAATAGCCACTGCCACAGAGAAGCTGTGCCACGGGCAGGACAAGAATTTGGGATCTACCTGCCCGTGTACAGAAAGCTAAGCTCCCAGGGCAGAAGAACTTCTATTTCCCAGGGATTCACTCTTAGTTTTTATAAGAGGGATCCCCTATTTGCCATACATGTGCTGAATGTAGTATCCAAACCACTTTCTAGGACTGAAGAGATGGTATTGAAATGTGAATCAGAAGCTCCCATCTGTGCATGCAGATGCATATGCAGAGAGTGGTTGCCCTCTCTCCTTTCTGGCAGAACAAGGCCACTGAGCTTTCAAGGGATAGGGGCATAGGCAGCAGACACTAAACCTTGCCATGCCCTCCTCCACAGGTATCTGACAAGGATTTTTTGGAACAGCAACAAGCTGGAGATGGATGTTATCTGCAGAACTAGAGGAAGCTGACAGCACTGAATTTCTCACCTTTCTACACTTCCCCCCGAGGACAAACCATTTCACAGTGAAATAACTGAAGTGCTGCAAAGCCAAAATATATTTTTCTGCTGTCAGTAACTTTCCAATGTGTTAAACTGTAGGAGGAAAGCAGCTGAGGAATGGGCAGAGACACAGTGACACACCAGTACTGTACTGGTCCTACAGCAGCCTGTACATGAATAGGCACCCTCTCATCACTTGAAAAAAGTGAAAAAATGAATCTGCCTCTCAGTAGCATCTGTACAAGGAGTAACTTGGAAAAGAGCTTCACCAAGTAACACTGCACCATGCTGAGTGAAAACCCTGTGCCCTGTTGTGCACAAAGGGGTGAAATCCAATGCTCCCACAGCAAGGCTCAGCCAGGGGCAGGAGCAGTGGGCAAAGCTGCCCAAAGCAGCCTAAGCAAGGCCAGCCAAGGCAGGTCTAGCAGAGACCCCAGGGTGAGCTGAACATCTGGCCTCACCCGAGGGGGTGAGCAGCTGGTGTGGGGTCCCTGTCAGGACAGACAGCACCATCCTGCAGCCCACTCAACTCCCACAGCAAAGCCTGGCTGGCAGAGCTGGGAAACATCAGTGCCTGCTGTGGTGGCAGCCTATAACACAGAGGTGCTCACATTTATCTGGTTCACTAGAAGTGTTGTGAGGCTGGATTAAATGATGCTGGAAAACAGTGAGGGCACCTGGGGGCTGTACATGAGGACTAAAGCCTGGACAGCCTCTGCTTAGGAGACACAATCTACATAGGAAGATGGATTCACCAGGGAATTTTGCTCTTTAGGTATTTTTTTTCTCCCAAATTTTAAAAATACCACCAAACCTGCTACATTTGGCAAACTGTGACATATTTTCCTAGCAGTATTTTTCTAGCAGTATTTTCAATTTTTTTTTTAAAGAAATCACATTATATTGAAATTCAGCTCCTTCAAACTTGTTTTTGCCAAGCCTTCTGTCAGAAAAAACAGCTGCACATTTTTAACCACAGAAATGATGGATTGCACAGTCTTCTATGGGATGTCAGCATCCAGTTGTCCTTAGATTTCTTTTACTGTTAATTAGTGATCTAATTAACTAGACCCGTAGTCCACTTAAAACACTGTAACAGTAAAAATTCTTCATTCCTGTGTCAATACTGAATTTCATTAATAAACACAAGTGGAAATTTTCAGTGAGAAGCAGTAAAGAAAAACCGACCAACCAAACAACCGCTTCCAATAAGGTTTACAGTGAAGTTACATTAAAAGAAATAGTGAAGTTTTTACTTTATTTTTACACTTTTCTTCCAGAAGATAAAGTTAAAACAAGAGAAATGCTATTAATACAATTTAAAGTAGAATACAAATGAAGTTATTTATAATTGGATAAAGAAATTTGTCTTTTTAATGTGTATGCCTTGAAAATTGGCCAGAAAGTCATCTGTGCATTTTACTTCTTGACAGCAATCACTTTCAATATTCTGTAAAGGTACCCAGGAGACAAGCAGAGATGTTTGGTAGTGAACAGTAAAACATAATCAGTCTTCAGGAAGACAGTTAAAATTACTGATCTGTGACACATCACATGTTCAAGTCAATTAAATATGATTAACGACTACCTGGGCTGATGTGCATTTTGCTCTTTTGGTACATGCACAGGGAAAAAGGAGTGTGGGCATTTACTCACCCTCCTCCTTCATATTCATGTGCAGATGTGTCATGGAGTACGAACATATGCTCAGAAAACGTTTCGAAGAGAGGGAAGGAAACGATGAAACCCAGGAAAAAACAGGCTTTGCAAGTATCCTGCTGCCTAAAGATCTGCCAAACGTTCACCAGGGGAAAAATAAAAAATAATCTGGAATTTCTATTCCCTTCCTGATGCTGTAAAGGGCACCGCGCCCAAGCGGCGGCGGAGGTTTTGCCTACCTGAGCAGGTGGCGGTGGCTGTTGCACGAAGCCCTGGGGCGGCGGCTGCAGCACCTGCTGGGACACCGGTGCTCCTGAGCCCGTGAAGCCTCCCGGGGGAAGCTGCTGGCTTGGGGAGGCCATGATGTAACCTGTCTGCTGGGCAGGCTGCTGCAGGATGGGCGAGGGGTACACAGGGCCAGAAGGCGACTCGGGGTTGTCTCCTGATGACTGGCGACTTAAGCTCATCTGGTTAAACTGCGCTGTCATGTCATCTCGCTGCGGGGCAGAAGGGAGGAGAAGAGAATATAGATGCAGCAGGCACGTGAGTTAGCAAAACAAAATAAGGGAGAAAGGAATCACTCAGCTCCGATCCCTGCCAAACTCTGCAAGGGTATCCACAAAAATGGAGGCAATTAAAATGAAAATCGCCATAAATGCTTTGACAAAGACTTTAGGACTACAAGGTGAATGGCATCATTTGGCAAAAAAGCCAATTATTTTGGCTCTTTCCCCCTGCCACCCTCACATTTAATTCCAAAATGACAAGTGAACTTTACAGTGTTCAAAAGAAGACATTTTAAATGTAAAGGGCATGAAATTAAAATTATGGATACCTCTATCCTCAAATACAGAATTTGTCAGCCAAACTCATGCTGGTAATTTCACCCTTGTTTCAAATTGATCCCAAGAGGAATTCAGTAGGATTCAGCTGCAGATCTTTCCCTTTTTGGACTGCTTTGAAAATCCAAGGTTGTAAACATAGAGAAAGTTAAAAAACAAAAAAAAAGCTAAGCCTAATGTTGTTATTTCAAGGCGTTTTATTCTGTGTTGAAGAGAAACAAGTTCTATATTTGATTGAAGGGGGAAAGAAAATAAATAAATCTGTGGTAGGATAAATATACTATAGAAAGTCAAGTGACCTAAGCTTCATTACATGCTAGTAATAATACATGCATTCTGAACTGTATCTGTTCATTCCTGCAAAAAGATTAATACTATTCAATGCTCTCAAGTTTATTCTGTGAGGGTCAAAGATTTACAAATGTGGGTGTGGTTCTTCTTTTATGCCCATATCATAAGACCTTTAAATATTCAACTTAAACTCCATTGTGTGCTAATATGCCAATTACAGAGAGGAAATAAGCACCATAAAAATGTTCTCTTTTTAAAAGAAGCCTCTTAATATTGTTAGCAGCCTTGTGGTATTTACTCTCCAAAACGATCCTGCACAAGTGTTTAATGTCCGGAAACGTCAAAATGTGTTAAAAACAAAACAAAACAAAATAAAAAGTTTGCTTGTGGAAAGCACTTTTGGGACTCACCCTCATGCAGAGAGACTCACACTCACATCTGAGATGTCATTGATCAATGTTTTAAACACTACTGATAAATCATCAGGTGGTTTATGGAAGTAATGCTGTTAACTTTCCTGTCATCCTACATTCATATTCAGACACGACTTGTCTCTGTGAAGCTGTTCCTTTAAAAAGCTAGGATATTCATGATCAGAATGACAAATTACTGCAAATGGATTCTACAAGAAACTTCACTGAGCCAGGAATGCCTCTAGATTTTCACAAAAGAGAAAAACATCTTCAAACACATATAATCTGTGTAGTGTTCGTATAATGTAATGTGTATTGAAGATACTAATTCAGATGAAGTTTCACTATTAAATTAACCAATAAAAGTATTAACTTTCTTGTGACTGCCACTAGGGCAACCTGATATTCCTGCAACAGACTTTTCAAAAGAATTAGCATTAAGATACGCAACTTTTGTTCACCATGGAATATTTCTTTTCCTTTAAATGGTATCACTAGTCATTAATACATTATTTTATCTGCAAGGATCCATTCGGCTTTGTTTACGTATCTTACTATAACTATGTGACATTGGGAAAAAAAAAAAAATCAATCTTAAACAAGATTACTAGACCAAGACTGAAAAACAACAGAAAAAAATCTCATAGTGCCTCTTTAAAATGTCAGCTTCATTTCAGAACAGTATAATCTTAGCCCTGTAAGCACCAAGTCAGAATCAGACTCCAGAAGAACACTCTATTTATTTTCATTATACATGTCCATTGGTGCATTGTCATGATGTACAGCACACCACACCTTCTGCAGCTGGTTCAGTGCTACACTCCTTCCCAAGTCCTCTGATATCACCAAGGAATAAATCCAGGCAGTGGATTTAGTATATGGAAAAAAGAATATAAAATAAAAATAACGATTTCTTGAGGTCTCTTCTCCTGTCTTTGCAGACACGAAAGAGGAATAACCCAAATCTCAACTATTCCAAGTTAGCAATTTAGGGTCACTTGGCATTAAGTGAGGAGACAAGCTCCTACCAGGAGGCAGAACAAAATATTTTTCTGGAGGGTCTGCTAAGCAGGTACAGAACCCTGCTGTGACATCACCCTTCAGGTTAGGTAACCAGAATCAGTGGGAAAGCTCACACAAAATGCCTGTCCATACCAAAGCATAAAGGTGAACAGGTATTTAGACAGGGTTCTCATGTGGGACACCTGTTGCAGTGCTCCCCAGAGGCTCTTGGACACACATACTCACACCTACAACTTCAAGGAAAGAAAAAGAAATAAGAAAACTTTAGTACCACAGAAAACTGCTGTGTTGGAGAGACTGGCAGGAGATGCTGGGGAGGATAAGAAACTGCTGGATATTGGACCGACTGAGAAGATGGCTGCATTGTCTGAACAGGCTGCAAAAGAAGCAAAGGGAAAGACAATAAATTCCACCAGAGAAAGATAACAAGCACTATCACCACCACCTTTGTTATTGAGAACAAAGACCTCAAACACAGCTCTGAAAATACAGGTGACTCATCACCAACCAGCCTGAGTACAAGAGGTCAAGTATTGTGATTTTAGTCTTCATTTTAGCCTTATACCAAACAATTATTTATTACTGATATTTCTGCCTCTTGTTGTGGATTTGATGGTTGTTATATTAAACATAGCCAGAGTTATACCTTCTTACTCATAATGTGATGCAAAGACAAATAATGATTCCACATTTAATTCACAGACATAAAAACGGAAAGCAGCATAATGTGTGTATTTGAATTTCACTATTATTGACTGATTTAACTCCAAGTGTGTTAGAGGCAAAGGAATAATGATTGCAAAGCTGTTTTGAGAGAACACAAGAGTTTAAAAAAATGGCTGTGAATTACCAACAGACAGGCCATCAGCTTGGAGCAGATGTTTATCTAAGCGAAAAAAACAATTTTCCACAGCACTATTACCTTGGAATAGCTTTAGTATTCCTTTCATTTTAACCTTTCATATAACTTCTTACAGGTTTGGTACTATCTCTGTCTTCTAAAACTGTGAAGACCAGATGAAGAAATAAGAGCCACAACCATATAAGTCCAAACCCAGCAAAATCAAAGCAACTTCATTGAATTTCTGCGTAACCTAGGATGAAGCTGTGCCAAATTATAAAGCTACACAAGAACCACAGTAGATCTTGGCTGCTCTGTGACTAAGCAGGATATAGAATTCTTGCTTGAGTAATTCCGTCCGCCTGCTCTGCCCTGGGAGAACAGGCAAGCAATCCACAAAATTAAGTTTGAACCAGACCCAAACCCTGCTGCCCATGCTCAGCCACGTCTGGCCATATGCCACAGCCAGCGCAGGGACCAGAGAGCCAACACTGCACTGTGCTCAAACAAAATTGCTCTTCCTGCTGCAGCTCCAGAACTTCTAGCTCAGAGAAAGATCACAGCCAGAATATTGGTGCAGGCAGAAAACCACCAAGCTGGGGCAAAGGTGCTTGGAGAGCACTCATAGACTAGGCCCAATACAACTGGACATGAAAGGGTCTCTAGAGCTCTTGTACCTTATTCTCTGATTCAAACCCACTGCTGTCAAAGGAGAAATGTCCCTGGCTCTTTGGAGAGAATTACAGACTGCGCTGGTTTGAGAATGAATGGTTCAGCTTCCACTAATGGGTGAATTTTTCAAACTAATTTTATGTAGACATGCACCAATATGCTTAACAGTACTTTTGAAAATGAAATCATCCTTTAGATAAAATTCAAGATGTAATCTTCCCTCTCCATCTGTTTTATCCATGTTGAGAAGAACATCCTGACATTTGGTCTAGCTGTATTTCTCCCTTCTTTCCTCTAGGTCATTCTTCATATCCCCAAGAGCCCCTTCTTTTTTTCCAATGACGCCACACCCACCTGTGTGACAAGGTGACTTGCCATTTGCTGCTGTGGCTGTTGAACTTGCTGAGGCTGCTGGGGTGAAGGCTGCTGCTGAGACTGTCCCACCACCTGGCTCCTCATTGTCTGCTGGCCACTGGGAGGATTGTATATTGCCGGCGTCCCATCAGGATTTACAAATGGTTGACCTGAAACAAAACACCCGGCTCTTGCTGGATACTTTTAAGAACATACTGTTTTCTGTGTGAAAGCAAACAATTTTGTTTTAACTGATGGCTCTTTAGCTGACCTGCTACAAGAGTAAAGCATTCATCACTCTTAATATCTCATTACAGTAATTACAGTATCAGAGAGCTTTTATTTTTTTTTCAGGCAAGACAGCAGGTATTTGTTTCAGCAGCATGATTTGCCAAGGAATGGGTGGAAAGTTACCATGGCTATAAGATGATTCAGAAGCTATGGTTACTTGAAATCATTTAGTGATGAATCAATTAACATTAAAATTGAACTTTGGAGAAAACACTGAAGGTAGAGAATGTTCCCTTACATTTTCCTCTAACACAACAGCAGTCAAATGTACACAACTGCTTCTGAAACAATACGGTTTGTAAGAAAGTGGAAAAAAAACAAACCCACTCCTGTTACTAATTTACTTACACGTTCTAATAACACAGAGCTCTGCTTTTGAGAACTGTGCCCTATGCTTAGAGGAGCTAGCACTCCAGCTTTCAAGGAAGCAACACTTAAGGTGTATTTAAGAATCTCTTAAATACAAGACAAATTCTTTTCAGAGTTCTGCTAAGCTATTGAACTCATTTTTGCTTCAAATAATTAAGCTGGGGGAAATAATCTTGCAAAAACAATGTTTGTTTGAAATAAAAATTTTATCCAAGTCATTGTCTTGAAAACAAAAAATAAATGGTATTTCCCAGTAGGAAAAATGTTTTCCATGACCTCAGTTCTCTTTTCACTTCCATCATGCATCTGTAAATCAAAGGAATTATGAATACTTCCAAGAGGGGGAAAAAAAAAAGTAATTTTAGCAATGATGCTATAACCTCTGAAGTAGGTAACTAAAGTATGAATATCTGAGATAAAAGAGAGATCTGGAGGAGTTCAGTAACTTAGAGTAACAGTGAAATAATGAACTTCTCATTTGTACCGTACAAAGCATCTCTATCTGCTCTAGCTACTCCTCAGCTTTCTAGTTTCTCCTTCCAATGAATGATGGTCAGAAATGCATAAAGAGCACTGGCTAAAGAACCTTGCCTTCTGTCTCTCTAAAGCATCAAGTTTCTGGATGAACTCAACACCACATTAATGCTGAGAAAGATCATCAGTGAGTGGAAAAGAAGCATGGGGCAGTTCTGTCTACTGATTTCCTGATTCTTGCTGTGAACCCACTGGGTGACTATGGCATGGACTCCCAGACTTTGGGAATCTCAAGCCCCAGAAGTACTTTAAAAGATTGAGCGAGCAGGATAACATGATCCCAAAGCCTGTGTCAGATGTTAAAGGGAAGCTAATAAAGAGCATTGCCTGTGGCTTAATGAAAGATGGCAGAACTGAAAGTGTAAAGTCCCAGAAACACTTATAAAATAAGAGAAGATTTCTCATGGAGAAATCCTGAAATCAGAAATGACAAGGAGAGATCAGAAGGTAACAGGGAAGACATTTGCAAGTTATGAACTGTGGCCCTGATAGAAGGGCGAAGATTGCAGTGTCATTTCAAGGAGTATGAATGAAAACTAAATGCTCTTAATTTGTCAGAGGGGTTAAGGAAGAACGCGTCAAGAGGAATCCTTTAAAGGGTAAAGCAGTCTGATGAAGCAAGTGAAATTGAGAGCACAGCCACATAAATGGCTCTTTGCCAAAGCAAGTAAGAAGTGTGACTATCTGGGGAAGGAGAAGGGTAAAGCAGGGTAGAGAAAAGAAAGGAAACTGCAGATATAGAAAAGAAAGCGTGGATTCCCAACATCTGCTAAGGACCAGAGTTATACTCAGAGCAGAAAGAAATCAACAGCATCTCTAGATGCCATTAGAGGCTTGCACGGTCAGTGACTGTGTAGTGTGAAAGGAAGGATCTTTAAAGGACACGGTGTTATGATCAAAAGAGAGAAAAAGACTGGAAGTAGCACTCTGCAAGAGGAGAAGAAAGAGCTAAAGAATGGTATGACATAGGGAAAGAAAATCTATTCATACAGGAAACAAAGATCCTTTTTCCTTTTCTTTCAACTGTCTTCTCTTCATCTCTGTTTCTGACAGCATCCATCACTTTGATAGTCGATCACAGCATCCAGCAATCTAAATTTCCTCCCCATGGAGCTCCTTTTGTAATGTTTCCCTAATAAGATGCAAAGATTCTGAGCCCAAAGAGTGACAATTTTGCAGCATGTATTTTGCTGCATGTGAAAAACACAGCAGATGCCAAAGTAGAGTCTGAACTTCCAGCACGGGGTAGCAGCATGAAGCTAGGAGTGTGAGACAAGAACTTCAGGTTGTTAAAGAAATCTGCTCTCTCCATTACTTTATTATGCCTATAGTTACAGGGGAGCTGCAGAAATGAAACACAAGGTTGGAAAGAACACAAAATAATATATACACAAAAATACTTTCTCCTTGAATGTTAAACATACAAACATGAATGGGATTCCCAATGATGCATCTGCAGACAGAGGCACACAGGGAGGGAAGATAAGGTGCTCTGGTCCAGAGACAGCATTGAAAGGCATTATACCTACAGCAGAAAAAAAAAAAGACTCTCTGTGTACCAGGCAAAAATCTGAACTAGCTGCTGCAATTTGCTAAATTGACAAGACAGATGTAGAAGATCTTTCTCTTACATGGCTCTTCTTGCTTTCGAGTGTGGCGAGCTCCAGTCTGTCCTTGCTAGGAACAAGCCAAGGAACAATCTTGGCCAGGAACAAGCAGTATCTCTCAGCTGTTTGTGGGCTCCATACAACAAAATTTTCTTTAATTTGTTTCTCAGTCCTGTCACCTGAATTAATGCTGACTCCTGCCTAGGCCTGATGAGTTTTGTATGGAAATGGACCATATGGTGGAACAGAAAATGTTGTCTTCTGTACTGACCAAGAAATTTCAGTGTTTCAGACAGAACTGTCACCTACCAGAACAGAAATGAGCAGATGAATATAAAGATGGACCTTGCTGACAGTATCAGGTTCTCATGTCAATAATGCAATAGCTTGGAAAAAAGTACACTTAAAGAGTAAAGGCTTTAGAAGAGTGAAGGTTTGTGAAAGTTACTAAGTCACCTGTGTGGACAGAACTTATCAAACACATCACATTCTAATCTAAACAAACAAGAACTCCTCCTTGATTTCAAATATGCTGATCCATATTGATCAGCTCCAGATACTACCATCTATAAATATCTGTGGTAAGACTGGCTGAAGATTTTACCAAGGCTGTGTTTTTCTTAACTGCTGCAACTTTCTTGACTGAACTGTAGACAGAAAAATTATTCTTACTAGTGGATGCACACATAAGCTTTAAGCATTTCCACCAAAATAGTGGAACACCTGGAGGTATTACACATAAAACACAAGTTATAAACAAAAATCCCCAAATAAAAAGCTCCTGAATGTTCTTTAAAGGACTTTAAAAAAATTTTATAGTTTAACCCTCAGCTCTCAGTGTAATTTCACTACTGGGTTTTCTTGTTTTAAACCCAGCATAACTCAGCTAAAGTTGACAGCACAGCTAGCCATGGTCACTGGAATGGTCCAAATTACCAAAGAAGCAGCACACCCTCAAACTCCCTGAATCTTCTTAACACTGATAGTACAATACGGTGGGGAGTAACAGCATAACATGATCTGACTTCATCCAGACCAAGGAGGTAACAAACTGCCTTTAGCTTTCTTCAAACTGAAGAGTTTCTGAAGTGCCCACCGCACTTGCAAGGGTGCTTGCAAGTGCCTCATTTGTGAGCTGCAGTGATGAAAACTATTAGGAATTTAAGAGTTACATCTTTCTCTTATCACAAACTTCACAATTTAAATACAATTTCTAATCATATAGCTCACATAAAATTAATTCTGAAGTGCAGATTCAAATGCAGCCTTTAAGCCTTTTGAAATTCTGCTGTTAAGCACAATCTCTAAGAATGTGATGTTATATTTTGGTTGCACCGTATCTCAGCATGCCTGATATGGAAGAGCATCTGTCCTTATTGATGTTAACAGGATCTCAGAGGATTCACTGAGAGCCAGGGAGCATCAGGACTGCTGAATGATGAATATCCTGTCTGGGATGGAGCAAGAGTGTTTTGTATCACTTCCCATGAGCTATGCCACAACAGCCTCAGAAATCAAATTTAGCTTTGCCTGCACATTTGGAACCACAGTTTGCCAAACATCATTTCAATGTATATTTGCTCAGAAAGTGCCTCCAGAAAAATATGTCTAGAAACCAGAAATCTGTTGATTCAGCAGCTAACATCAGAAACACCAAAGGGCAGAATCAGGCAGGAGGGAGCTGTACTGACCTGTGTGTGGGTTGAGAAGGATACTGCCAGGCGGTATCCCTGCAGCTTCAAGTGGAAGAATGATATAGCTGGTGTTGCTGGGGGCCACCTGGCCACTCATCCCGTTCTCAGGGTAGGACATGCTGCCTGAAGAATTGGCTGTCACCCCAGGGACGAGAGATGCACTTTGGAGAGGCTGATGTATTCGTGACAGTGATCCTGAGGAGCCAGCACTGCTGGAAGACTCTGAGCCTAACAGGGAGACACAACCACAGCAGGAAGGGGGGTTACAAGGGATGCTGGTCCCCATCAGATAGGGCACATACAAGGACAGCCTTCACAGACTGCAAAGGCATGCACCATTCCATGCCCAGCTAGTAGGAGCAGGATTTTCACCCCCAGTACCCAGTGGTAATTTTCACAATCCAAAAGCCCACTTTCCTCATGCAACACTGGCTTCCACCCAGCCAATAAACAGATTTACCAAGGAGGAACATAAAATCCTGAGTGTATTTATAATGCCAAGATATCAGTTCATAAGGCATAAAAAGTAAACAAAGTGTTTATAAATGAAAGAAAAACAAAAACCAAATCAAACAAAAATGGAACACAAAAGAAAAAAGTCACCTAACATTCTCTGCAAAGCAACAGCAACTGAGTTATCAATCCAGTCACAAGGTAGCTGTGTAATATCCATATTAACTTAAAGCTACCTAAGATGCTACCTAAGACTTTTGCCACTTTGGTTTTTCAGCATCAAACCTATTAAAATTGATCAATCAAGATAAATCAATTGTGCTAAAGCACATTTGTGCCTGGAAGAATGGGAAGACATTTTAACCCCCCAAAATAATCAAACTTCTGAGATACTACTTGATTAGATTTTAATTTGCTTCACAGAAAAAAGACAAGAATTTCAGAGAGCATAAGGCTCAGGTGATCAGCTTCCCTAAAGCAGGATGGTATGAATGCTTACTCCACAGAGCAAAGTACATTTTAACTGCAACTTCTTTCATTTTACTTGAGCCCACTGTCTATGCATCTAACCTCCACAGTGTACTTCTACAGGTATAGACTAAAAACAAGGACAGAATCCAGACTTCAGTTTAGCAAACCTCTTTGAGGCAAATTATATCCTTTCAGGTATGGGATACTTCAGGTGGACCCTGTAGCAGACTGCTTAGAGCCTCAAATTCATTTTCAGCCAAATGCATTTGAAATTCCTTTGTTTTCTCATATTTAGAGAAATGAAAGCAGAAGAGCTTTCTTCGGAAGAAATCACACCACCATCCTGTTATTTAACAGAGGATTCTTCCACAGATTACTTCAGGTTGCTGTGTAACATACATTTTTTATCCATCTTCTTCAAACTTTGGGTTCATATAGCAATCACTACAGACACAGTCCTCTCTATGAGCTGTGCACTATTTGCCATCAGTAGAACCCTACATCTGCTTCTCCGGTATCTAATCAAGAAAGTAATAAGAGATTTCCAAAGAATTTTTTAGTTTCATTAAGTAAATCTTTCAATAAAACATCAAAGTTGTATTAGTTGCTATATTTTTTCCTCTCCTTGTAGACTGAGGTTAGAAATTTAGAAATATTTTTCCTGAAGAAATAGTTTTATTTATTAGATAATTTCAGATTCCTGTGTTTCTGCAAAATGCAGAGTTATTCCTGGAGGCCATCCTCAGCTGCAAGTAGTATTTGGCACCTTCCTTGCAACTGTAAATGCAACTGCTGGAGTTCAATTTTCCTTCCACATCACTTACAAGGTCCTTTGCTGTATTTCCCTGGCCTTTCTACATGCACTTCATGTTGTTTTGTTGAGTTCTCTTTTTACTTTCTCCTCTTTTCCTTCACCTTTTGAATTCAATGGTCAGGAAGCTGCCTAGAGATGGTAGTGGTGATGAGATTTCTTAAACCTCCCATTATTTCTAAGCATGTCTGTGAGTAGTACCAAGCCTGAGTTCAGACTCTCTCCACTTTTTGTGCTATTCCAATGAAGCAAGAAAAGATTACAGCTCTGACATTCAATTGTTTTGATTTTTCTTTCCTCCCTTTCTGCTGTTCTTATGGCAGAATTATGTATTGATCTACACCAGCTTCTGAATGATAAAAGCCAGAGGACAGCAATGAATTCAGGTGTACTCATCACATGGCATGGAAGCAGTGGAAAATACTTTGAGGCTATGCCCACACATTGGTCAAGCTGATAGCTTTGAAATGTCTGCCTTAAAAGATGCAACATCTGCTCTCCCATGTCAGTAGATCAAGTTAGTGATTTTGAAATAACACAAATAAGTCACAAAACCATATAAAGAATTTTCTTCATTTAAAAAATTAAAAAAATTCCAGAAATTACTGCTGTATCAATTTTTCCCCCATTTATACTGTATAAGAATGATCTACTTTATTTAGTTCCGTTGTTGTAACTTATTTCCTATCATTTTAAGTCTAGACCTATTAAGGCAAGTAAATTCCAACACTAATATTTGGAAATGAACACCAATTAATCTTGTCTTTGTAGCTCTGATTAGCTGTTTTCACACTGCCTGAATCTGGAATGGGAAATCACTTTATAATGAATACAGTACTGTAAAAAAGGGAGAAAATAAACTATCTGACTTTGTTCAGATTCATATTAAAAGACATCTTGCAAAAGACTTCTGAAAGGAACTTGGACCAAATGAGATTTTTGCCCCCATTACACAATCTAACCTCTTCTTTTTCAGGATGTAATGAAGGATAGTTCTTCTAGATTATTCTACAATTTTCTTGCTGCTTCACAGTTGAGATAATAATAACCTTCACATTCTCATCACTTTCCATTAATATATTTTTTAAGTATTCTGAGAGATACAGAAGTTCAAAGAGCTGTAAAGAAAAGGAGACAAAAAAACCACCAAAAAATGCTTACTAGCTTAAAGGGTTTGCAGAGAGAGAGCATGGAAGTACCATTAATTTTCCAATATTCTAAGCAATAGTAAGTGATGCAACATGTCCTGCTCTATTTTCCTTGGATCAGCATTCAGTATCTGATGAGTTTGAACATCTCTGCTCATCTCACCTTTCAAGTCCAAGGCAAATTTCTTCTTTCTTACCAACTACACTCTCAAATCTACCCACTATCACTGCTTACTCTAGCACATCATCATTTTCAGGAACAAGAGAACACTGGAAGTATTTTTGTCTTGGATATAGATTCTTGGATTAGAAATATTTATTTGCTACTTCTGTAAGTCACTTGCCTTTCTCTATGCAACAATATATTTTGTGATTTTTTTAATTAAATGGCATGTGCTCATGTGAACATGGATATTTCTGTCTAAGCTGCATTTCTAAAAATAAAACTGATGCTTCAGCACAGTCAGTAGGAAGATTATGACTGGAAGCAGTTGGCTCATGACCTGCTGTCCATACATCAATACTCTGACAGTTTTTGCTGGACTTACAAGATTCATCAGGCTAATGCCTAACTCAAGTAAATTATAAAGAGGGAAAAATCCAGTTCCAAAACTCAAGAAAAAATATAATATACAGGACACTTTATTTAAGAAATCCCAAAACCTAAACAACAAACCAATGAAACAAAACAGCATAGGAAAGCCAGTGTATTAAAACGCCTGCAGTAATGTATTGAAATGCCTTTCCCAATAGGAGTAGCAATGAGCAACTAACAGGAGAGATTAGACTGGGTCTCCGATTACTTGGAGCCCTGCCAAGGAAGCTAATGATCCCTACAGATCTGTATCAACACAGCTAATACCCCAATGCAACCAGCTTTTTGCAACTAAGGGGGAAAGAAACACATTTCGACAGATGTGCATTCCACTGAATGGAAAATGCATTAAGGGAAGCTAAAAGTGCAATAGCTACAACTTTTAAGCCTCCCAACAATTATTTAACTAGATATGTAGATACACATAGGACATTTATGTGAAACACATCTTCTGTCATGATGTTAAAACCTGCTGCAATGTGTCAGTGACAATAACATGGCAGTTCATATGCTAGATTTTCTCTTTTTGGGTGTTACAGACTGAACATGTACATCATTGTGCCTCTACAGTGACAACCATTTCACTTACCACTCTTAGTCAAACTTGGGAAGTTTACTGTATTAATAGAAAGCTAAACAAACCAAGATTTTGTATTATGTCCTAAGTAGTAGGAATGCAAACTGATTGAAATATGTTAAATTATTAACTCCCCATTTGATATTGAATTATAGCTTAGAACATCTCTTTGTACCTACTGAACTCCAGAATAACAGAGAAGGAAATTTTATTTGCATTGTACAATCTGTGCTTTTCAGTAGAACAGGGTTTTCTAAACGATCAGGTGCATGAAAACAACCATCAGAACCGATAAAATAACCATGTAACGGGTTTCAAACAGCTCCTTTTATGAAGTTTGCAAAATTGAAGTAACAGAATTCCTTTACTAAGCTCCAATTCCTGTGCAGCTGAAAACAATAAAGCCTAAGACTAATTGACACTACTGGACCCTACTGCAGAGAACAGCATGTTCTGTGATCTCTCTGTGAGCCTAAGGGGAAGCTAACATCTTTCTGAGTTTCAGTTCCTGCTTGTTTGTTATGTACCATTAATTACTGATTTATCACAGGTTAGGGGCAGAGCATCTAATTTTGGTGACAATACGAAAAGAGATCCAAAAAGGCTACAACATTAATACTGCATCACTGTATAATCTGTTGAAGGTAGCTGTGAGCCTTCTGCAAAATACTCCTATGCCCAGGAAGAGTGTTTAACAATGCTTCTGGATGACAGCCATATACACAGAGAATAATTTTCACATTTAAAGAGACCATAAACATTTTCCATCATTTAGCCAATGAAGAACATTTTGACCAGCTAATGATTTCACACTGATTTCATACAAATTATATGCCAGACAAAAATATTTTAGATTTATTACTGTGAGCCAGAGAAAAGTCTTTCTGCAGAACTGAGACAGAACTGGCGCCTAGCAGACTCTGGGATGCTACCATGGCAGCATGCCTGATGTGGGTAGCAACACCTGTGCAATTCCATTTCAACTACTGTAGTGAAGACAAGAAAAACAAACAAACAAACAAAACAAACAAACAAACAAAAAAAAAAAAAAAACCCAAAAAAACCCAAAAAATCAACAACAAAAAAAATCACCCAAAATAAAAACATGACCAACCTTTAAATGTCAAGTGAACTACAGAACACCAGGGCTGCCTATGGCAAGAGTAGAAAGTA